CAGATGATGGTAGGTTGCCCCAGCATTTTTCAAACCGAAGGGCATGACTTTATAGTAGTACAGTCCTCGATCTATGATAAACGAGGTATGCTCCTCATCAGACGTGTACATTGAGATCTAATTATACCCCGAGTAGGCATCCATGAAGCTTAACAACTCGTGCACAGAAGTGGCAGTGGACAAGCTTTGTTGAGATCCGTGAAATCAACATATGTTCGTCATTTGTCGTTGGGTTTTTTCACCAAAACAGGATTGACAACCCAACTCGGGTAATGAGCCTCCCAATTGAGAGGAGCTTATTGTCACGGCCCCATCTTATCAAAGGCATGGCCAGGTGGAGTTCACACAGCACCAACCCACTCTTCGTGACTCACTAGGAATATCTCCCCCCTTTCGCGTCCCCCACCACTCGAACCCAAGACCAAGGGGCTATAGTCAATTGGGAAGCATGGTGAGTACCATCAGGCTAGCTCTTAAGGGAGGGGGGGGGGGGGGGGGGGGGGGGGAAGATATTCCTAGTGAGTCACAAAGAGTGGGTTGGTGCTGTGTGAACTCCACCCGACCGTGCCTCCGGTAAGATGGGGCTGTGACACTTATCCACCTCAACCTTAAGAGCAGCATAACGCTTTGGGTCCATGACTTTTCTTTTCTGGCAAACTGGTTTGACCTCACTATCGATGTTAAATGCATGACATATTACATTTGGGTTGGGCTAATCCCGATCATGTCAGCATGAATCCATGCAAAAATATCTATATTATGCCTAAGCAAGCTCATTAGGTCGGTAGCGAGTTGAATGCTAAGATTACTTCCGATTCTCAATACACGAGTCGACTCATTTTGGTCAACTGATACCTCAAATAGAGTCTCAATATGCCCACTGTGGGAATACTCCTCTTGCACACAAGGATTTATGTTGTCTTCCACTAGACCTGGTTGTGGTTCGATCCTGTTGATCGCCATAGCTTGCTCGAGAAACCTTACTGGCTTCCCTTTCCCTGTATGTCATCTACACTGCTCTTACATAACAGTTACGAGATTCATGCTGACCCTTTGACCTCCCCACACCCTGTTGGAGTGGGAAGTTTCATCTTCAGATGATAGATGAAGGTGACAACTTTGAAGTTCTAAAGTCTCAATATGCCATTGAAAGCAGATAGACAGTCTACCACTAGAAATTCTGTCATCTTGGTCACATAGGTCTCACCTAAAGTGATAGGAACTGCAATCATTCCCTTGGGAATCAGATGATCCCCTGTAAAGCCATAAAAGGGGATAGAGGCAAGTTTCAGATTTGCCTCTTTTAATTTCATTTCCTCGAATTCTCGCTGAAATAAGATGTTCACAACGTTTCCATTATCCACGAACATTTTGTGGACTTCGCACCAACTTATTTCAGCAGCAATGACGAGTGCATCCTCATGAGGGTGATGCAATCGATCTTTCTCTGAGAAAGTAATCTTCTTCTTTCTGCATACCTTAGTAGATCGTTGTGCCATGTTTAACACACTCATAGGGTCATGGCGAGCTTCCCAAGCTTATTTCTCCTGAACGCCTCAAGAATTCGCCACGAGGTGTGGTCCTCCAAATATAATCCTTACAAAATGAAGACCCTTGCAACCACGATGCTTCTTCCCATCGTCCTTTTAACCCTTCTCCCAAATGGGAGTTGAACCATCAACATACTCTTTGAAGTGTTTCTTTTTAATGAGGTCTTCAATAGCCTGCTTAAGAGCTCGACATTTTCGGTATGGTGCCTATTGTCCAGATGATAATGGCAATATTTCTTGTTATTTCTTATTGAAGTGGGATTTTTCATGGGCTCTGGCTCTTCGAGTAGATTAGCTTCTTTTGATTTATCCAGAATAGCTAATACTGATGCATTCAATGGAGTGTACTGATTCTTGTCGCGATCGCGATGAGAAACTTGGGCATAAGATTTCTTGGGCTCAAACCGCTGTTTTTTTCCCTCTCTTTGATCGTCATTAGCCCGTTTGCGATCAGGCCTTCTACTACTCTCTCCTCGGTTTTCCTCCTTCTGACTGGGAACGCTGGTCGAAGGACTGAGGTCGTGGCAATTCAAAGCAACCACTGAATTTTCAATTCTAAGATATTTCTTAGTGAGGTTGTAGAAGCGGGTGAGGGAATTATAGTCCTTAGTTTCTTCCATAGGTCGGTTGCATGCGAACTCCCGCAATAATAAGAGTTCGAATTGAATCTTCAGGGGTATTAGCCACCTTGTTTAGCTTCTTGTGGAACCTGTCAATATAGGACTGAAGGTATTCATTCCTTTCATGTCGTATGTTACTCAGATAACTCAATGGCATTGAGAACTTCCTATTAGCTTGGAAGTGCCTCAAAAACGACCAACTCATCTGCTACCATGAGTTGATAGATCTTGGCGGAAGAGATTTAAATTAACGCTTAGCATGGGCCGTCAAAGTCACTACTAAGCAGCGACATTTCGCCAAGTTGAAAACTTGGTGAAACTCCATGAGGTCATTAAACTCATAGAGATGATCCTACATATCAGAATTCCCATCAAATGCTCACATATCGGGCATTCTAAATCTTGACGAGAGAGGAGCAGTCAAAACTGTTAGAGAATAGGGAGATGCCTCAACACCTGCCGACGCTCTTTCTGTTGAGTTCTAAGTTGATTTAGAGCTCGTTGCAACTCCCCAATTTGAGGAAGTAGAGCCACATGAGGATCACTTTCTATAATGTGGGTTCGCTCCCCACGATTGTGATTGAGGAAAGACCGCAGATCGGACTCTTCCTTGCCTCGGCCAAAGCCTCTGACATACCTTAACACATGCTGGCTGGAGCCATGTAAAGGCACTAAATAGCTGGGGGAGTTATCCTTACCTCCGTGGTGGTCAGAACTGACCCGTGTTCGATGGGTATTTCCCTCCCAGTGATGGTTAGAACCATCATTCCGGGGATAGTGAGAATCTCCATGTCGTGCTCTCTTGTGGGGGTGCCCATGCGATGTGGCGTGAGACGATTCATGATGTGACATACCGCCAAAGCCACAGGTATTCTACTTGCCTCACTACAGGTATTCACTGGCCCCTTTGAGCTTTTGGCCCATTGTAAGCCACCTGCTTTCCCTTATTTTTACATCCTATAGTGCGCGTGGTATGAGCTTTCGCCCGTTTCCACGCTTTAGCGCGACCTAAAAACGTTTTTGGAGGTAGTACCGTCTTGTCAGAATTGGGTGGTATGACCTGATCCAAATGATCTAACCTTTGGTTAACCGTTTTAAGGGTATTATTGAACCTCTCCAAGTAATTCATCACAACTGGATCGAGTTGAGAGGTCGAGGGAATGTTCGTCGCGGTACCTTGAGGAATTGAAGACACTTCAGGAGAAGTAACATCCTGTACCTAAGGGATTTCCTCGTTGTTGGTGCTAGTTCGCTCGGTTTCAAGACCACGAGCCATTTGTTCACAAGTAGAACTGATTGGTCAATGATTTTGAATGAAGAGCAAATATAAAATGTGCCCTCCTTCTAGCGCCAAACTGTTGATGCGTGATTTTGACACCAATGACTTGCACGTGCAAAATGCTAATCTGTTCTTAGAAATTACACGTGAACTGTTATAATTAGATACAAAGACTTGAGTAATAAATGAGAGATATGATTTTTAAAGTGGTTCGGATGCTTAAAATGTATCCTTTTATATATGAGAGATTACAAGAGGTCGTGTAAAACGAATAGTGAATAGAGGTATAATAACTGATTATTCAGAGAGAATATCAAGTCAATCTCTTTCTCGTAGGTTATTTTTGTTTTGAAAATAAAGATTACAATCAGAATGAAGGTTTAGTATCAGAATCCCCAAAATGAGAGGCGGAGTCCTTTATTTATAGTAAAAGAATTCAAGGTAATGATTACAAATCTGCAAGTGGGTAGGTGTCGTGCAAGTCCTTCTTTGCCTCTCATTGGCTGATAACTTAGGAAATATCGTCAAATTATCTAGGGCTTGGACAGGTGTGCGGTCCTCAATCATTCATAGACAAAACCTGAATCTGCTAAGTTGGTGACAACCATATTCTTTTTGTCATGGAGTAACGTGGTAGTTTCTAGACTTTGCAAAGCCAACCTGAACTTTAATTGGTGCTTACTAACATAGGCTAACGTTAGCCCTGATTTTTTAGACATATATATATATATATATATATTATCTTAAGAAAATGATACATTCGCGTTTTCATTTTCAAAGATTTCTTATACAGTAATTTAGGGTAAAAGATAAATTGTTACAATAATATCTGATTAAAAATAAAAATAAAAACAACGATTTGGTAAGACAAATGTTATATTATGAGTCATTTATATCTTCACAATAAAATTCATGCATTTAAGTCATAATTTGAGATTGTTCAGAAAAGGAAAATAAAAATTATACCAAGATTCAAAAGGACTTATATTGTACCCTTTCTCTAATAATAAATTATTAACATTACACATCTTAGTTTCAAGTTATAAAATCTAATATACCCATAATAACTCAATGGAAATCCTATAAGAAGATTAAAAACCTTATTTTTGGATCATTTTAATTTTCTCTAACTACATCACAAAGTGTTTCATTTTTCATATTGTTTTGACAAAATAATTAGAAGAAGAAGAAGAAAAAAAGGTTTTCCCAAAACATAAAAGACAAAACAGTTTTAGCACTCGTAACAGTAAAATGTCAAGCAGCTAAAAATCAGAAAGAAAATTGTATTGTATTTACACGTTTAGAAATTTTTTCTTTTCCTGGTCATCTAAAGTGTTTGAACCAACTTGCACGTACCTTAATTAATTTTTCAGTACCCAAAAATTAACGATCAAGTAAACCTCTCAATGGTTACCCTTATTAGGGCCTATGGGTACCTAAACTCAAAAAAGCTCATAAAACCTTTTCTTTTTCTTTTTTTACCATCAGGTCATCCAAGATAGTTTCAGGAGAAAAAAATCGGTAACTCCAACAAGCATCGAAGATTCGAACTTTAAAGAAACGTTATGACTAATATTGCCAACTCTTCTTCCAAGGAATTAATTTTTGAACTATTTATAAGATGCTGAAGTTATCACTAAATATAGTGTCATATATATTTGTAAAAGCAGTTTAAATCATCGTTTTCTATAACTGTTCTTCCATCTTTCACATAGAAACCACCGCAACGATTATAATCTGCTGCCTTTGCTACTGTATCACAGTCTAGTCTCCGAAGCCTGTTCTCAAGCTCATTTGCATACAATTTCCAGGGTCAAGTAATCCAAACAAGGACTATCGCCTAATCAGATCATCCGTACAAACGATAGTAGGATCCATAACACAAATTTGCAGCGATCAACCTGCCAACAGAAACAGAAGCAATTAAGTATCAAAGGGTATCTCCAATATCACCTTCAAAACGGAAATCATTTTGTTCATGTGCACAAATATGCTAGGAAGAGGGAAAAGTAACTAATCAAAATTTGCAAATTAAAGTTTGTAAGAGCAATTCTGTAAGGATGTCTTTTACAATTTACAGAGAAAAACAATGGACAATGAGGAAAAGTAAACAATGTTCGCAATAAAGGCAATACCAACATCAGCACAGAGCGAGATCTCTGACTAAAGCTATAAATTGAAGGTCACATAACAATGTTTTCAATAATATCTATCACAAGTGATATACATTCTAACCAAAGAAACAAAAATGAATTAACCCCTGTCAAAAGTGATATTCGTTCTAGCAAAAGAAACAGAAAAATGAATTGCTCTGATCTCACCAAACAACCATATGTTGTACAATTGACATTGGAAAGGAAAAAGTAACTCAGATAATCAAAGTAATTAACCATTCTAGAAATGATTTCTATATAAATGACATTAAAAATGTTCATTTTAGATATTCCATTTACTTTTAGCACACCTATCTCGACATATTTTAAACTACACTCATCATATATAAATGCCATTTATTAGCCACCTAACTATATGTACTGAGGTCCATAAACATTAAATAGTCCTTCTATACATATTTTGATAAGTTTCCTTCTTTTCCTTTAGTTTATAACACATTAATCAAATTCACATATAACCTACAAAAGTACTCCATCCGCTGTATGCAATTCTATTATTTTGTTTGGTATGAAGAAAGTTGAAGAACGGAGAAAGAGATAAAAAGAATGCTCAGAGATTATAAGTACCTACCTTGTTTGGTTGAAAGTAGATCACAAAAGGGAATTTGTTATAAGATTTTCTTCTTTCAATATCCACCGAAAGTTTGAAACATCTCCCTTGAATAGTGGATGAAAATAATTATTGGTCTTATTTGGTTGAAGCCCCATTTCCTAGCTTTCAACCAAACAGGTGGATAGATTTTAACATTTCTTTTACTTCTATTCTTTTCCTCTACCAAAGAAAGTCTACAGAAACTTCCTACTGGATTCCTCTCTCTTTTGTGATAAAACACCGGGCACTCAAAATGCTCACATTTATTTCTCACTTCGCTATCAAACTCCTCCATCACATGACTTACCTAAAATTATATTCCATGGATAATTTTTCCAAATACTATTGTAAACGCAAGAGAATCAGTTAAATGCACATGCCAAACATATAAAGACAAGACTTAATTGCCATAGAATACCCACGCCATTGCCTAAGCATAAATTTCAAATTAGAAGTTTATGTGATCATCGATTTGGATGAATGAATGATAAGAAGCACCAAGAAATGGAAACAATGCTGAAGCAAAAGAAAGAAGAGTAGAAGTTAACTTTCAGTGCACAGACATTATCAATCATAATAAAATAAGGAATATCAGCAACTACGACCTTGTAATCAAGCAAAATCATCTCCAGTATTGACAAAACTAAGGTGATGACAAGAACAATATGATGTATGAGATCTTGGCCTGAACTTTTTCCCCACTACGATTGCATCAAATGATTAAACCTGAAGCTCATTGATAAAAACAATGGTAATAGAAAAATGAGAAGTACATCAAACCAACACAAGATACTCAACAACAAAGTCAGCTGGAAACAAATAAATTATAAATTTGACACTTCGTAGGGTGATAAGGAACAGTGACAACTTGATGGCTGCAGTAAATCAAAGTTAAATTTCAAGGTTGCTGCATCTAGTCATTTCCATGCTAAATGCTCAGTTTGAAGCCTCTTACATGGTTCAACTGTTTGGCACATTAACCCAAACCCATGGTCTATTTATAAATGCAAAATTATACCACCAGCGAGCGCAGCCTTAGCATAATAATTAGGCTAAGAGACATGGAAGAAAGTTGACAACCCTAACAACAGAATTACATTCAAAAAAGCTCAAATATTTTCCTCTTACAGAAGGGGAAAAAAAAAAGGAACATAATGCAGGAAAAAAAAGGTTATATAAAGTTTGGACAAGGGCTGTCACACATAACAATGCTTTCTGTTGCATGGACCAAGGGCAGCAACCAACGAAATTTCCTTTGTCCTTTAAAGAACAATTATAGAGAAGATTTTCATGGGCAAGTAGGGAATATGCCATCCAAGCATACGCATAGAAGCCATGTTCAGCCCAGTTTACCATCTAAGACTTCACCTTCTATCACGCTGAGGTTATTATTCATGTCTACAAAAACAAGAGCATATTTCCAACATCCCAAAACTAATAAATCTTCACAACTCATCACATAATGCCTAATATGTCATAAGAAACGGAATCCCCAAAATAAATATATAACTAACACAATTCCCTAAAGAAATATTAAATAAATAACTACAAATTTGCTTAAACGTACAAACATGTTCTTTCAATGATAATATTGCTTAACATGCAAAATCAAGGTTATTTAGTTGCCCAAGTAAAAATCACACTCCAAGTCCAATCACAAGATGAGATTCAATCAACTAACCAAACAAAGCAACCAAGAAAACAAAATCTCACATACCCAGATGACAGTTCATCAATCAATTGCTCTTATAACCCTTATCATTATCTTTCCTAGCAGCTCTCGCATTATCGTACTCGAATTTCAACACATCAGGAATATGAGAAGTATCCTTGAGATAAAAATATTTCCCCAGAGCACTGTCTTCAATTGCAGGAAAATAACAACACAACAAAGAATTCACTACCCAAAACCACCCCGCTCCAACCAAAATCCCCAAAGTAGCCCCGGCAAACACTTGAGCCACCGTATGGTACCCCAAATACACCCTCGAATACATAGTCAGCACAGCCAAAGTCCAGTGAAGAACGTTCAAAAACCACCTGTTCTTTATCCCCCAAAGTCCGATTCCTTGACAGCTTAAAAGACTAAAATAGACTGCGAAAAAGAACATGTACTGAGAGTGACTCGAGGGCCAACCGTGAGAATCACACATTTCTAAAAGCGCACACGTTTCAGGCCGGGCTTGTTGGACCGATTTTTTTATCACTTCGTTGATGAATTGAGAGATTAAGAGACCGATAGCGAAGAATATGCCTTGAAGCTCGCGACGAAAGATGAAGTGTGAAACAAAGCCGCCGAGGCTAATGAAGACCGGCACGAGTGAGACCCAAGCGAGGAAGTGGCCCAGCCGATCGCCCTTATGGTACCGCACGTGCGTCAGTGTTACGGCCTTCAGAGCCATCGCGGCGTGGTGAGGGTATAGTTGGAGAGATCTGAGTTTGAGAGGAGTGGGAGAAGAGTTAGGTAGTCGGTATTAAGATTGTGTTTGTCTCTCTAGAAACCGTTGGATGGAAAATAAAAAATTACAGGAGAAAGGGACTTTAGAGGTGGCGCCACGTGGGCATCAAGGGGATATGCAAAAATGCAATGTACGACTTTCATTTGAAAAGTTGGAATTAGTTACTGCCCCGAGATTTCAGAAATTTATTAACCCCCCATACTATGGAAAACTATCACTGGCCTCCTCTCTCAGTCTCTCTCTCTTTGACAAATCATTTTTTATTACTCACCTCCCCTTTAAGGTTTAAACCACTTAAGTCGCGAATCGCGATAGAGTTTGGAATGTCAATTTTAGCCTTCAAAGAAAATTCTATAATTCCCTCCAAAGTAAACCGTAAGTGAACGAAAACTCTATTAGTTTTTATCAGTAATATACTCTGACTGGATCAAAGGGCCACAAGTCTACATATGCTATGATGCACCATTGTTCATCGCCTTAATTTGGAAAATGACATTCAACTTTTCTTTGGTGCTTCAAATAGGGAATGTGAACATTCCCTAAGTTTTTTGGGTTATTGTATCAAAAGTTATATCTACATAATTCAAATTTAACGGTGTCAACAAATAAGTTACACTTGACAAATGCCCTTGGGAAGACATTTGAGGACACATTTAAAAATCATTTGGTTGTATTTATTTTATTATTTGGAGTAGTATTTTTGAAAAAGTAGAGTTGGGTTGTTATTACGAGGTAGAATTTAAAAATTAACAAAAACACCCATAAGTTTGTTAATTTAGCTAAACACCTTCAATAATAAAAAATTTATAAATTGACAAAAACACCCCCACTCACCCACATTTTCCAAATTCTGTCTACCACCACTGGAAGGTGGTCAGAATTTGGCGTAATGGCGCATGACTAATTGGATATGGTCGGTTGTGCACTGACATGGCCTTTTCTGGCTAGATTCATCATGTATCTCATCAGAAAAGTAGATCTGGCCACATCTGGTTATCAAAGACGGCCAAAGATATGGTCGTCATTGATGACCATATGTGGCCAAATATCTAGTTGTTGACGGCCAGATCTTTGGTTGTAGATCTAGCATTTTCCAACTAGATCAGTGTACTACTGGCTAGATTTAGCCGGTAATGCGTCATTATGCTAGATTCCAGCAACCTTCCAACGGTGGTGACCGGAATCTAGCAAATATGGGTGGATGGGGGTGTTTTTGTCAATTTATAAACTTTTTGTTGGGGGTGTTTAGTTAAATTAAAAAACCTATGGGGGTTTAAAAGTTGAAAATAATGGGATTGAATTTTGAGAATAGGAAAAAAAAATATGCATTTTGGGTAAGATAGGAATAGGATAGGGCAAAAAAAGTAAGACAAACATGCCAAAGTCCCATCATATGTAAATATTTTTTGCTTTGAGTTTGATATAAGCACTCTCCCTCTCTCATTTGCTTTCAGATTTACACAACCATTTTTAAAGTAAAGAACATGTGATGAGTTGAAAAAACACAAAAATTTGTAAACTAGTAACCATCCTTGGGTGCTTGGGTAGTACGATAGAGACTCTTGGGTGTAATACTCAAGATATCCTGAGTTCGATTCCTCTCAGTTGCTAATAGGGGTGGTCATTGCCCCACTAGAGGGTATCTTTGGTCGTTAACTTCATGACCCAAGAGGATTAGTCGAGGTGTGCGCAAGCTAGTCTGGTCACCAAAATAATAATAATTATAAACTAGTGTAAACTATAATGTATTCGTTGATAGATGAGAGGAGGATAGTGATACTTTCTAAAACTTGAAGGGGGTACATAAGATAGCGGGGTAATCTTCGTTTATTTTGTAAGATTCTTATATTTGGTTTGCAAATAATAAAATATTATAGGAATCTTTTATTGCAAATAGTGTTTACTGTTGGTAATGTGGGGGTAATCTTATTACCTTGCTATGGGGTGTTATTAAAACATTATTGAGGTAATATGATTTTTCTACCCATTTTGCCCTTAATTAAAAACCATTTCAGCATTATTGCCCTCAAATGTTTACCAAATAACAATTACCCAGCCCTCCTACATTTGAGAAATTAGCTAAAACACCCATGCCACAAAAAAGTTTAAAAGTTAACAAAATACCCCCAGCCACCCAAGACCATCGCTGGCCACTGGCGTTAGTCACCATAATGGTGCACGATCGACGGGATCTGGCCGATCGTGCGCTAGAAACGGCTAGCTTTGGCATTTCTATGCCCGTGAAATGGCCATAGATCTGGCGATTTTTCAGCCATGGATTTGTGATCCATGGCCATTTTCGGCTTTGTCGGCACATGACTGACTATATACGGCCAGTTGTGCACCATTTCATCGACTGCCAACGGCGGCCGGTGGTGGCTGGCTGCCGGCAGTGACTTGGGGTGGGTGGGGGTGATTTTACTATAAATTAAAGTTTTATATGGTTTGGGTGTTTTAACAAAATTTCAAATGTAAGGAGTTAAAAGAAACTATTCAAATGTAAGGAGTTAAAAGAAACTATTCAAAAAATAATAATAATAAACACTATTATATTAATATTTAAAAAGGAGGGCAATTAATAAATCTATATAACATATCCACCCATTTATCCTCCCAACCAAACATATTATTCACCAATTTATTCGAACCAACCAAATACATTTTCTAAGTATTCCCAATAATCTTTAAAGTGATCTTTCTTTTCATTAATATAAAATACCCCTATAATAAAATATTATATAATCCAAACGCCCCCGAAAGGGTGACATAATTCCCTTTAAAAAAGAAAATGATGAACTCTTAAACTCGGAGAGATATATTCAGTAATTCTGCCCCAAATGTGGATCAATAATACTACACTCTTATCAGCCAATAATATAACATTTACAAATTAAATTCTATAATTTTGTATCTAAAAAAAAAGAAGATAATTGTTTATCAATCCTACACATAAATAAAACAACGTGATAATCAAAAATAATAATTTTATCAAATTATATGTCACATCATTACTTTCCTACGCCTAAAATGTGGTATGCTATTTATGCCCAATAATGCTACAAACACTAAAGGTTTATATCGAATGTTTGTACCAACCAACGTGTCATTTGAGTCAGACGCAATCACGTGGCACACTAACAGGTATTTTGTGAATGAACGATTGTCCATATTATATAGACGGGAGTCTATTTCCTCTGAGTGGGCGTCCACCTCATATGGACACCCGTCCATAAATTTTTAAAAATAAAATAATAGACGTCTATCAATATTATATGGACGGGTGTATAGGCATCCATTTGAAATGGATGGCCGTCCATCTAAAATCGACACAAATAAAAAAAAAAAAATTTAAAAAGAATTTTCTTTCTTAAGTTGAAGAAACCACTTGTACACTCATGGCTAGGAAAAGAAGCTGAAGCTAAAATAAAAGAATTTGCTATAAAAGCACCATTTCTAAAGTCTACTACTCCTCGAATAAAGGCATCCTACCTTGGAAGTAACAACACCACTTCAATTGTTTCAACCAACTACTACACACAACATCCATGCTTTCAGTTTGGTTTTTTAGTGATCCAAACAGCAAAAAAAAAAAAAAAAAAAAAAAGGATGAGCATCCATTGAATATGGAGTAGAAGGAAACTTGTTCAATGTGCACTTATAGCAGAGCAAGAAAATGAACAAACTTCCACTTCTTCATCATCTCTTATTGCAGTGGCAAATGAAAAGCCAAGTGGAGATAAAAATGGAACTAAAGTGGAGGCTAGTAAAGAAAGTGAAGAACTTGAGCAACAACAAGAAATGGACTAGAAAACAGATGAGGAAGTTCAAGAAGTTCATGGGGAACCCTTCCATTGAAGCATCCATAAAGCTGGAGAAGAAAAGGGTTTATAGGAAGCTAAAAGAACTTGATAGGGAGAGTAGTGGCAACCCACTTGTGGGATTGTTCAATAAACTTGTTAAAGAAAATTTGAGTAAAGAGAAAGAGAGGTTGGAGAAGGCTAAGGAGACTTTTAAGGCTCTTGACTTCAACAAGGTGATTCTTTTATTTATTTCTTGTTTTTTTTTTTAAATGCACACTGAACAAGTTTCCTTTTACTCTATTCCCGTCCATTGTTATTTTCGCATAGACGGGAGTCCATTTGAATGAACGACTGTCCAATAATCATCGATGTTCGTCCATGTTTGATGGACGACCATTCATTCATGAAATACTTGTTAGTGTGCTATGTGGTTGTGTCTAACTCATATCACACGTCAGTCGGTATAAAAATTCGATGTAAACCTTCAATGTCTGTAGCATTATGTTCATGAGGTGTGAAGGGTAGTCGGTAGGTGGTGGCGTGGTGCTAAAAAAAAAGCATGAGATTTAGATAGCGTTTAGTTAAAGGAATATTGTATTACTGTGAGGGTACGTTTGGTTAAGGGTCATATAAGATTACTCCGGTAATCTTCATTTAATTTTCAAGATTTTCTTGTTTGGTTTGCAAGTAATAAAATATTACGGTAATATTTTGTTACAAATAGTGTTTGTTGTTGGTAATATAAGGGGTAATCAGATTACCTTGATTGGGGGTATTATTAAAAGATTACCGAGGTAATGATTTTTATACCTGTTTTGCCCTTAATTAAATACCATTTTGGACACAATTGCCTCAAATGTCTACTAAATAACCATACCCAAACCCTCTACATTTGAGAATTTAGCTAAAACACCACAGTCACAAAAAAGTTTAAAAGTTAACAAAATACCTCTAGCCACCCAAGACCACTGCTGGCTGTGGGCCACAGGCGCTGGCCGCTGACAGTCGCCATATCGGTGCACGACAAGCGGGATCTGGCTGACCACGAGTCGATCTGGCTATTTTTGACCTTCGATATGGTCGAAGACAACCAGATCACGGCCAAAGATTTGGCCGTTTCTGGCCATGGATATGTAATCCATGTCCTGAAACTATTACCGACGCATGATCAGCGAGATCTAGCTGATCATCTACCATTTCGGTGACTGTCGGTGGCGCCAACAGTGGTGGCTGGTTGCCAG